TAACAAGTAATGGAAGTCAATGCCACTCAATATGTATACTAGCCTTGTATCTCCAGTGCAAAACTAAGGAAGCAAACTCCAGATATCAAACAAACACTTTGCTAACTGACTACATTTGGAATAAGGAGGAAATCTGGACAAACCTGATTTTCAGTGAACTACTCCTTTAAGGGCACTCATCATAACATAACAGAGGCTTTACCATTGTTTGACAGACAAAACATGCTGTGTCCAGCTTTGTGGCATGCTCCACACCTCCACTCAAAGTTTAAATAATTTCATAATTTCAACTCTGCCTCCAACAGTCGGCAACTCTTCCTACTATTTCTATATAAGAAAATATTCTTGAACAGGCAGTACAAAATTACACTCTTTAACACTACAGTCTTAAGCCCAAATGAAAGACATATGCATGGTAAAATGTCACAGAATAAGAAGAACTACCAGGATTGTAACAAACCTCTCCTTGTACTAAGTGAATATAGTGTCTGTAATGACATTAGCTGCAATGTCATTAGCAATCTGTTTGGTATTGTCAGAGATGAGATGACTTGAGCTGCTCATTTAGTTTATCAGATACAGCTGCTGGCAAAGGGTTTCAGACCAGAATCTGTAGCACAATGTAAATAAATTAATAAAAATCAACGCTGGTAGTGTGGAAAATAACGCTCTTTAAGATTTAATTCGGACCAGCCGAGTATCATAATACACTATATATCCAAAAGCAAACAGAAAAGCCTTCTAATTCAGCTATTTTGAGGTGCACTCATTGCTGACACAGGTGTTTAATTGCACACACAAAGCTATACAAGCTCTGCATAGAAAAGCACTACCACTAGAATGGCATGCTTTGGAGCAGCCACACATAAGCCTAAGAACACCTTGCTAAGAGCCAGCTAGAGGGGTATAAAAAACCCCCTGCAATGGGCAGTGGAACAGTGTTCTCTGGAGGAGCTCCATCCAATACTTTCGGGATGAGCTGGAGTCTGGTTTGTGATCCTAAACTAATCATCCAACGTCAGTGTGGATTCTGTGGATTCTTCTGTGGATAAATGTGATCAAAATCTCACAGCATTGTTCCAACATCTAATATAGGGTTGCTACAATTTTATACATACATACATACACACACGCCTTGAGTGTGCAGAATCTTTTCATTGAGTTTGACTATCAGCTCTGCTGTCCTCTAGTCCTTCATCAGCGGTCAGTTTAGACCCAAGAACCTCTGTCGGCTGGATATTTTTGGTTGGCAGACTATTCCGGTTTAGTTTAATATACATGATAACTCAACACAGTTCTTCTTACAATTTAATTAGGGACATCCCTTTTTTTTACCCCTAATCTGATATAAGTCCTTTGAATTCTTTAATACTGAGTATCAGCTGATAACAACCTGGTCTGGTATTCTGCACAACTGAGGTAAGATACTCAATCAAATAATACTACAGTAAAATCAGTTCATCTTGGAGTGAACATAATGATGTGACATTTTGGACTGACAAGTTTTGTTTTTTATGCTTTATCAAAATTAAAATATTATAGTGTGTTTATTTTGGCTTATGATCAAGTTTGACTGATCAATTTGTCCAGCAATTACTTTAACATGCAGTCAAATCACTTTATTTTTGATATGTGCATATCAGTGACATACGCAGAAATACATTATTGGGTAGGCCTGTGAAAAAGTGGGTGGGTGAACTTGGCAGATACAATATCCAAACGCACTAATCTCACGCAATGTCATTACATCAGGTTAGACCTTATAGATGACAACAGTCATCATCCTACCTATTCCAATGCTTCTGCACTATGGTGATACAAAACAACAGCAGTCAATCAGAATGCTTCACATAAACACTACTAACACCATTCACTATCATGCATCTGCTCACCACAGGCACATTGACCCACTAAAGATGACAGAACATACACTTAATAACGCTTAATAAAAAATCTTTTCACATTTGATTGGGTAAGCCTGTGCCCAGGCCTACCTGTGGATACACAGTACAGTATACATTCTGAACTGCCAGCTTTAGTTTGGACTCCTTATGTGAAATAACTAATTTATAGAGTGAATATGCTTCAATCAAGTATATATCAAAGTATCTACTCCTTTCTCTCACCTTTGAATGCAGTAATGTTTCTGGTAACTGCAACTTTAACCAGTGGTATTTTCAACCAGTTGTGTATTTAGTACATGGTTTTGGTGGCTTGTTGCTCACTGCAAGTAGCAGAAAATGGTTTTAAGCTACTTTATCATTTTTGTTTTTTTGTTTTTTTTTTTTAGTTTATAGTCTGGCCATCTATGTTTTGGGACCTCAGTGAAAAAATCCCAACATTAACTTTATTTGAAGCATGTACCTTGTACACTCTAGGAAGTCCACCTCAGACTTTCAGATCTGTTATCATCCACAATTTGTCACCCTCGTCCTCTACTCCTTCTTCACTGATCGGTTTTTACTGAACAGATATTATTCATGTGGCAGACCATTCTCAACTCGGCAGTGACAGTGACATGGTAGAGGGCAAGATGCTGTCACAAGTGTACAAGGTCACACACCAGTGTCACTGCTAGGTTGAGAGCAGGCCAACATCCAAAAAATATATCTGTATATATAACAGCAGCCCTGAGCTCAGAAACTGACTGACACTGAAGTGCTAAAGAATAGCAAACGCAAACTGTACATGGAAACAGATGGACTACAGTCTCTAACCGCACAGAATGAAAGAAGGACCAGAAATAGAGTAGCTTGTGCTTTCATATATGTATAATATACAATCCAGAAACATCAAAAATAATTATTTCAAGTATCTAAATACAAAAAGCTGTGTTTTTCTACTTACGTTTCTCTCACAGCCTATGACTGAGATCATGTACAAAAGAAACAAACTGCTGTGCTCTCTTGTGCTTTGACTAACAGCAAGCCCTGTTTTACTGCTGCCGTTGCTACTACAGCCATAATGTGAATGCCACTATAATATCACCTCAGAGCCTCTGGACAACACAAATGCTAAGTGCTAGCCTGTTCAGTATATTCAGTACAGGATTAAGTCATTGCTAACAAAAATCTGAGGCATTAGTGCAAGAAAGCATACTTGATTGTTCATCCAGCCCTAATGTTCTACTGCTGCATTGCTAACGCCCATATTACAGTAATGGAAAAAGGGGGAGAGAAAAAAAAAACAAAACAAAACAAAAAAAAAAAACAATATTATCTGAGGCTGCCATTTTCCCCTGCGCTGATCTCACAAAAATCATTAACTGTAAAGACAGCACTCAGTCTGATACACTAGCATTTCTGTGTTTTTTATGCCGCTCGTGTCAACTATGAACAAAAGGTTTCATTTCTCCTAATTCCTCAGACAACCGGAGTCTGCATCCATTAATGACGTCAGGGTGGAAGTCCTGATCTAGGATCCGGTTTCTCTCTTTCTGTAAAGCTTGCAGACAGCATGCTAAAATGCATGTAAAATGCATGCACGCTAAAATGCATGTCTTTTGCATGTAGCCACCAACACAATCCTGTTACCGTCTTCCACTTAACCTCTGTAGAGACTGCAAAAAAAGATCATGCAGCAGAGTAGACAGAAAACCTCCTGTGTGCTCAACTAAACACACAGATATTCACTTCAAAGGCCTTTTTGCAGAAACTATCCTTCACATTAGTGTCGCTTTCAAGTTAGACACAGACTGTTCTAGTCATTATCACCCAAGGTTGAACAGTTCCACAAATATCTGCCTCCGCTCCCCAGGGAACTGAATAGAAAAGCAAAAAACTGCAGTATTTTTATTTTTTTTTTACCTCAACTGTGATCAATTTTGCATGAATGTCTGGGTTTACTGAACACTGCAAATGTTTTCACACTGTATTGTTCATAGACTGTAATGCTATAAGTTGTTTTTATTTTTAGACAATACTGAGCGTAGTTTAGATTTCATTAAAAAAAAAAAACAATCAGGTACAAACTGGACAAAAAATTAGTTTTGCCCGTCTGTTTAAGTCTAACAAACCCGCCACAGAATCACACCACCACACTTGGACACAATCTCTCGTTAGATTAAGGGCCTCAAACCCCAGCCTGAAGGTCCAGAACCCAGAGTGGTTTGCTGATTTCTCTGTTCAACCACTCCTACTAAACCTAGTAATTAACTGATGAGGTGCGTTTGAGAAAGAAAAAAAAACAAAAAAAAAACAAACAAATCACCAAACTGTGCTGACTTCAATGCTCCTAGACGACACTATGTTCAGAAGGCAGAGCATATTCTGCTCAATAAGCCACTGTACACTTTAGAGGAAAAGCTCCACTCATCATGGGTCGCTTTCCAGAAGTTAACCAATGGAAAAGGAGGGTGGGCAAAATTGAACCGGAGAATGAGCCCCAAATTGAACCTCAAATACTGAAGAACCAGCTTAAAAATGAAGAAATCAAACATATGAAAAAAAGTCAAATATCACATAAACCAAATCTCAGATATGTTACCTAAATCATTTTTCAAATATTTCTATCTATCGCCTCAATCCATTTTCGCTTTTCCCTCTCCTGCCCTCTTTCTTGTTTTACCTCCCTCTTGTAAAAGCAGCCATGCACTAGTTACCAGGCAGTAAATAGAACTGAACTTTGCTCCTGCCATCTTGGCAGCAACAGAATGCCTTTTAAACAGCCCTGCTACTTCTAGTCAGCAGCTATGCCTAAGAACTATAAACAAACCTGGGAAGGAAACATAAAAAAACAACAAAAAAAATTAGTAAAAACATCATAATATCTGATTTGAGCACACATGATCTTTGCTTCATAGCAAATACACATGCAAACCCAACTATGCACAGTAAAATGTCCCATATCCACAGAGTTCAGTTAAAACTGTAAGCAAACAAAGAGCACTAAAATTGTCCTGAAGTACAACCCCACCTAAGCTAGAAATGGCCACTGACAAAGAAAAACAGCAGCAGCAATCTGGGGTAACATGAGAGGGAATTGAGAGAAGCAACTCTTACCCGATCTTGGTCTTCTGTTTGGATTTGGAGGAAGTTACGATACGGGCCTTCCTGGAACTCTTGTCCTTGTTTTTGGATTTGGAGGCCGATGACCTGTGCCCATGATGCTGGGAGGAGCTGGGGAAACTTTCAGGGCTCATAACACGCGGGATGTTCTTCTCCCCTCGCTCACGGGCTTTAGCGATGGCCTCAGAGATGATTCGGTTGGCCTTCTGCTGCTTGTCCTCTAAACTGGACGACTCCATCTGCTGCTGCCGCTTCTGCACCCGTTTCTCTGACGGAGACGAGTACGACGACGAAGAAGAGGATGAGGATGAGCTACTCTTCATCGGCGGGCTGAGCAGCCGTACCTGACTGCTCGAACCATTAGTGTTCTTAGGAGGCTTGAGAAAAAGAGAAGGAAAAGAGAGAGACTGATGAATACATGCTAACATGAAAATATATTGTTTATTTTTTTTAACAACGGTCCTAAACCGTTCTTAGGATGAACAAAAGATTCTAGGAAGAAGCTTGAGTTGGTTTAGAAACTCTACAATATGTGGAATTCTTTAAACTTTAAAAGGTTCTTCTTTTTCGCACAGCTCATCTGCAGAAATCTTCAGAAAGACTCCAAAAGTGAGTGATCTATAGCATCGCCCCAAAGAATTATGTTCGGTACCTTTATTTTTTCATTTATTTATTTATTTTTTTTTACCTGATTTTCTCCCCAATTTAGTCGTCTCCAATTCCACCCGCTAGTTAGGGCTCCCCCAATCACACGATGCTATCAACGCTAGGAGGGTGAAGGCTAACAAAGGCTTCCTCCAAGACCTGTGAAGCCAACCACCGCTTCTTTTTGAACTGCCGCTCACGCAACGTCACTGGACAGCCGAACGCGCTCAGAGGAAGGCGCCAGATCTGTTACGTCAGCTAACAGACGCCTGTGCTGACTAGCATTGTGCTGAGTGATGGGGGGAGAAGGGCAGCCATCCCACCCACCCAGAGAGAGCGAGGCCAATTGTGCTCTCTCGGACTCCCGGCTACGGATGGCTGTAGCATTACCAGGGATCGAACTCGCGATCTCCTGATGATAGGGCCAACGCTTAGACGGTTGCGCCACTCAGGAGCCGGTACCTTTATTTTTTAAAGTGCATAGTTTTGAATAACTACATCAATCTTTACAAAATACCTTTTGTGGCAGTACAGCGGCCTACTTACATAATGGCCTATACCTTAGCTCTCACAAGCACATCTATGTTTACTGAGCTCATCGTGCAGATGTTTGTACTTTTTCCTCCCGCAGTGAACTGCCCTCAAAGGAACACAATGTTCTTTTCACTGTAATCATATTCACGTAGGCTGTATCACAACACTATGGTAATACTACAAATTGAGCTCCTTCAGAATAATACTGAGATCGGCTTTCCAGCTAGACTGCGGACATTCTCCATTTAGCTTAGGCAGTTAAATCAACAGGCTCTTGCTCCAGCACTCAAGCCTGCACACCCTAAAAACAAATCCGCCTTCAATTTAAAGGTTAGTTTTAGAACATCCAGTTATTTTTGAATGAGCCTGATGCAGAGTGTAGAACTCCAGGCCTAAGGCATGCAACTGTAGCTCCTTCACTCTGACTTAGTCTTAAGATTAGCTCGTTTTAGCACGAGAGGGCAGGTGTGAAAGTACAGCTTGTGGATACTGCCCACACACTCTGTGTTAAAAGAAAAACATGGGAAATCCTCCATGTTTGAGCTAATGCATCAGGATTTTTGCCACTGTTCTGGTTTTCATAATACAGTCGGCTCTCTCGGTCACATGGACAGCCTTGTATGTAACAGGACAAAGGTAACATATAGCAGGCTTATACAAGCAGCTCTGGTAGAATATCTCTGATGTGTATATGTTACAATTGAGCGATACTGATTCAAGTTCAATATCATGATGTTTTCCAAATGTAGCACAGTATATTTATCAGGGATGCATCAATAACAATACTGTGACAGGGCTGATACCAGGCTCATTTACTTGTAATCATGCTCATAAGAATTTACTGATAACAACATTCTGGTACCCACTGTGATGTAAGCCAAGTGTACGCTGCCGCGCTGATGGCAAAACGTAGCGAAGGATGCTCTGCTCTCACAGAGAAGTGTTACTGAATCCGTTAAGGTCAGACACAAAGTCACTGGTCACTTTAAACATTTCACTTGGGTATACTCCCACCACACAGACACTGTGTGACTTTAGCCCCTTTTCATACACACAAACAAACTGCTTCCTCAATACAGGTGGAGACACGAAGGTCGGAAAAACAGAGGCAGGAGTCAACATTTCCTACCAAAGTCTGTATATGCCGACTTTACTGTCTGACTGAATAAAATTACGAGGTATAAATATTAATACAGTGATTTATTGTAAAATAGGTTGGAGACAGATCGTGTTGTTCTACCTGTGTACATCCACACCTGGCTCTTAGATTCAGTGCACAGTGTTAGCAGCGCTGCTCAGTTTCTCTTTGTTCAGTACTTGCCGCACAGTGTATTACTTTGAATGAAACAACTTTATTTGAAATTGGTCATGGACAGTGTTTCATGTAGCATAAACCAAGCATTTTCATACAGTGAGAGCACATAAATTGTAGGCTTTGTCTGTACACAATGTACTTTTCAAATGTACAGTGTGAGTCACCAAAGAGCAAGATTTCAAAAATCACACAGTCTGTGTCAGGCTTTAGAAGACATTCAGCTACAGCTCAACCAGCCAAACAAAAGACTTCAGGCCTAAAAACTCCACAAATGAGCTCCTCGGATGTGATCCCTGCTGTCATTGTGCCACAGAGACTTAAAAGAGTTTGGAAGAGAAAGATACAGGAAAAGTGATTTACTTACTACTAATCACTACGAAAAGTGATTTTCTTACAACTGTACAGATTTTTGATGAGAAACAAAACTCACTCTTCTCCACTGCAGCGCTATTCAATCCAAGTTAACTAATTGTGCAGAGATAGCTAATGCACATCATTTAAAATAAGCTAGACTGTAATGATTTAACTGTTAAGGTAGGTTGCACTCATTTACACCAACTGCTTAATTCTAAGTAGGTAACTGAGTATGGTATCAGACCTGGTACTGGCGAATACTAGAGTTTACTCATACTCCTACTCAGTCTGAAAAAATAGTATGGATTCATCCTTAATATTTATGTTAGCAATAATAAGGTCACTGAGTTAGCATTAATAAAATTAATGAGCCGGTTACCCCTGTACGCCATGCTAAAAGAATGTATCTTTCAAACCTGGCATGGCTTGTTTTAATTGGACTGTTTTCCTGTTTGAAGTTACACCACTTCACTACACATTTCTTTCAAAATAATCTGAAGCACCCAGTAAATGTAACTGAACAGTCAGGTCCTGGGGCCTGTCTCAGAAGGAAGGACTTCTTGTTTAGCCAGCTATCTTTAAGTTTAGTTTGATCCAACTCTGGATCTTCTGTCTCACAACAGTGGATAACTTTCAAAGATATATTACTATAGTAACTTATTCTGAACACCTAAACTTTTTGAGAGCAGATTAAGAATAAACAGCTTTTGGATCAAACAAGGCCAAGCTTTTGGCCAATCAGGGACAGCCTTCTGATGAAAGCGGACCTCTTGGTAATTTTTTTCCCCTCTGTGGAGTCAATCGCAATAAAAATATCATCTTTCAGTGGAGGAAAGAAACCAAACATAATTACCCAAAAATAAAAAGCAATTATTATTCTAAGCACTAATACAATGGCAGTGGCAAGAGTGATGCTGTTTAATACGATAAATGCTTTGCTTTCTACATTCTTACATAGTATGACTTCTTTCACCTTAGAAAGATAAGCTACTTGAGTCCTTCTCTTCACGCAGTTTTCTGAGGAATAATTACAACTTGAGCATCTAAACTTGGCTTAAAAGAGAAAGTTGTTAACTGCTGTTGTAAAACAAGTTAACTGTGGTTGTGTTTGTTAGGTTTTGTAAAACTAATCCCTTATATAACATCGATCAAGCACACTGCTGTCATTCAATCACCACACATACTGCTAACTAACTTCTAAAACCAAATCAACATCACAGTAAGTCAACATGATATACCGGCACAGATGACATATCGCCCAGCGCTAGTACACAAACATCGTAGTGTTTTGGTTTTTAGCAGTAATATGAAAATGGTTCTGAACAGAGCGGTCTCTCATCACGCAGTTCATCACTCATCTGAACCACAATGAAAAAAGTTAGAGCAGGACCACTGGCCTGACCTTTCACCTCTGACCCCATTTAAAGATTCTGCGACTCCCTGTCTCGCTCTCTTTAGTCAGACTGACTGGCCGGGCTGGCTTCTCTCTTTCAAAGGGAGACCTTCTTGAAGGCTACAAAGTTAGAAACAACGTTTCAGTAGAGGAAAAAAAGAGGTGTAGGGAGAAACAGAGAGAAGGAGAGGGAGAAAAAAGCAAGAAACAGACGGATAGACTGCACGTCGGCCAATCCAGCATGAATAATACAGTCAGCAGCATGCCCCAGCCTGCTACATGATCATAATGTGAATTATACATGAATGCCTTTATTTCATTACAGAGAGAGAGAGAGAGAGAGAGAGAGAGAGAGAGAGAGAGAGAGAAAAAGCACCTATAAAAACACACAGTCCAATCCAATCACACTGCCAGGCCCGCTATGTGCTTTCCTGCCTGCTAAATAAAGGGAATTATCTGGAAGCAGCGAAACAAAAGAAGGGGGAGGGGGGGAAATAAACAGTAATTCATCTGGAGGATAAACATGGGCTGCATAACGCAGTTCACGTGAGAGAGAGAGGGAGAAAGAGAGAGAGAGAGAGAGAGAAAGAGAAGAGCCCTGGACTGGAATATTCTTGCTAATCCATTTCAGGCATAAGGGAAAATCTGGAGGAATGAAAGAGGGGGGAGGAAGGAAAGGAAATGAAAAGCTATAGAACGAGGGTGGAGGAAAAGGGGAGGGTGGGAGAGGGAGAATGAAGAGAGAGAATGAGATTTTGAGAGTGAGAGAGAGAGAGAGAGAGAGAAGGAAAATGCACCAAAGTGAGAGCACTGCAGCTGTGTAATACATCTATAAATAACTAAAATTACAGGCTGCCAGCACTGCAGTGATTTCAATCTCTCTCCCCTCTGCTCCGTCACTCATGAAAACCTCCACAGGCAACCAACTCACACACCACTAACGGGGAGAGCACCACGCTGGACCCTCCGATGAATGACTGAATGATACACAGTGCTCTGAGGCGAACGCACACTGTCAGACGCTCAACACTGCACCACACATGAGAGGGACAGAGACAGAGAGAGGGGGGCTGAAATCGAGCAAAGGCGTTAAAAGAGGAGCTAAAGGCTAACTACCGCTAGCCGTATTAGCTCGG